AGTCATGCCTCTTAATAGAGCCGTATTATTTCCAGAAACACATATCCCCTGCACAAGTGTGGGACTTCCAGCTGAGCCTGACCCTTGCTACTGTTAACACAAACTCCTCCTGAATTAATTCTGGTGTTTCTTGGTGGAGGTCCAGAAGATGCCAGCATGTTCTCCATAACTCTGCACTACCCTGCAATTCATCTCTCCTGCAGCACAGCCTACATGAAGTTTGCTTATTATTTTGAAATGGATGAGACAGGCCTGCAGGATTAGAACTCATTTGTTTTTTCATAATGTTCACACGAGTGATGAGAGGAACAGCAAAGCCTCAGATTACATCCTTATTAATTCAAGATGGAAAACCATTTGTCAAGCAGCCAGTTTAATGTCTTGGGTGTATGAAGGAGTCCCAGAGCTCTGTGATGACTCTGGGGGGAGGGGGGGGGACTGGTTTATAATTAGGCACTTTCTTTGGTTCTGGAATTGAGCCGAGGGACATAGCAAATGTTCCAGGTTGTGTGTACTTGTCTGCAGTGCTGTAAACACTGAATTGAGGGAACTAGCTGGGAGGTAGCATGGGGAGTCTGGACTAACTGTTACATAATGGACCATCTGATGTATCATGGGCTAACTATGTTATCAAGTCCTAACTGCTTCATCATGGGCTAAGTGCTGTAATATGGGCTAACTATGTTATAATGGCCTAACTGCTTCATCATGGGCTAAGTGCTGTAATATGGGCTAACTATGTTATAATGGCCTAACTGCTTCATCATATCTAATTGGTTTATCATAGCCTAACTACTTTTTTATGGGCAAAGTGCTGTATTAGCTGCTAATTATGCTGTCAAGGCCTAACTGCTATACCGTGACCCAACTGCTTCATCATGAGCTAACTGCTAACTACTTTTTCTTGACCTAACTGCTTTATCCTGGCTTATCTGATTCACCATGGGCAAACCTATATATTACATATGTCAAACACAAGGCCCAAAGGCCACATCCGGCCCACCAAGCCTTTTCATGTGGCTCTAACTCCTATCTTTCAGCTGTGGCACCTCCCTCGTCTCCAGCAGAGAGGAGGACAGAAGTCCTCCACCAGATCCTGCTCTTCTCTGTGCAGCCACAGAGAGGATCGCCTCTGTTCCCCCCATCTTAGTAGACAGCAGCATTGCCTCCCTGTGCAGATCCTGCGCCTCTCTGTACAGCCAAAGCACCTGCTCATCTCCACCTCCCCTGGTCTCAGCATTCAGCAGACTCTGGCAGTTGACTCCAGCCCTCCTCTGGTCCTCCTCCAGACCCTGCACTTTCTGCTTCCCAGCTCCACCCTCAGTTTCTTCCCAGCAGTAGCACAAGGTTAGGTGAGATTCACTGTGATGTAAAGGAGGGCGGGGGACTCTTGACTTCTGATGGTGGAGGCAGGGGCAGACTGACAACTCATGTGGCCCCCGGGCAATAGGGGATCATGGGGCCCCTGTGTCCTTGCCCACACTCAAAGCACACCCAAAAAAGCCTAAAAAAAGGTTCCAGGGGCATTTCATGGGGCCCCCTACTGACCCCGGGCCCTCGGGCAGTGCCCGAGTGCTCGAATGGTCAGTCCGCCCCTGGGTGTAGGGGGCTCTTGGCATCTGATGTAAGCAAAGGTTGGGTGCTCTGGACATCTAGTCTTACAAATACAACCAGCCCTTTGAGGGCAACCATAATGCTGATGCGGTCCATATTGAAATTGAGTTTGACAACTTTGGTCTATATCATGGTCTAACTGCGATATCTTGGGCCAACTGGTGTATAGATAGAATCTCCTCTGCCCCAAGTCTAGTTACTCCTGCTGGGTACAGGTGAATCGGGAGTCGTCTGCACTCCAACACGGGAACAAACAAAAGGAAACTCACCGCACTCTGAGAGCATCACATGGATCTCGGTTTATTGAAACAATCCATAGTAAGTCATCATAGAGATATCTCATAGATTAAGACCTTTAGGGTGAAACATGTTAGAGGGGAGATCCCAAATCAGGACCCATATTATTCTATTGTGGTACAGAGTTCCTTTTTAGCTTGACAATATAATGCCTCAACTTTTTATCATGGTCTAGTTCAGTGGTGGACAGCTTTCTTGGTATGGGGGGCCTCATGTGCAGCAATTGACATCATCAAAGGGTCACACATAGAATTCAGTGAATGTTTAGTGTCAGAGACAGTAGACACACAATAGGATATAGTCAAAGGCTAGGGGCATGACACAAGAGATGGTCAGAGACTGTGGATTTAATACAATAGATGGTCAGAGACTGTGGATATAATACAGTGAATGGTCAGAGATGGTGGATATGGAACAAGAGATGGTCAGAGACTGTGGATATAATTCAGTGGATCGTCATAAACAGGGGACATGATACAAGAGATGGTCAAAGACTGTGGCTATAATACAGCGAGTGGTCAGAGACAGTGGATATAATTCAGTGGATGGTCAGAGAGGGGAACATGGTACAAGAGATGGTCAGGGACTGTGGATTTAATACAAGAGATGGTCAGAGACTGTGGCTATAATACAGTGAGTGGTCAGAAACAGTGGATATAATACAGTGGATGGTCACAAACAGAGGACATGATACAAGAGATGGTCAGAGACTGTGGATATAATACAGTGGAGGGTCAGAGAGAGTGAACATGGTACGAGAGATGGTCAGGGACTGTGGATTTAATACAAGAGATGGTCAGAGACTGTGGATATAATACAGTGGATGGTCAGAGATGGTGAACATGGTACAAGAGATGGTCAGAGACTGTGGATATACTTCAGTGGATGGTCACAAACAGGGGACATGATACAAGAGATGGTCAGAAACAGTGGATATAATACAGTGGGTGGTCACAAACAGGGGACATGATACAAGAGATGGTCAGGGACTGTGGATATAATACAGTGGAGGGTCAGAGAGGGTGAACATGGTAAGTGATGGTCAGAGACTGTGGCTATAATACAGTGAGTGGTCAGAGACAGTGGATATAATTCAGTGGATGGTCACAAACAGGGGACATGGTACAAGAGATGGTCAGAGACTGTGGTTATAATACAGTGAGTGAGTGTGTCAGAGAGAGTGGATACTGCTGTACAGATGATGTTCAGAGACTGCAGACATAATACAAGAAATAGTCAGGGCTGGACAAATACTGCAGGAGATGTTCAGAGATAGTGAACATGCTATAGAAATTGTTGGAGGCTGGGGACATGTTTCAGGAGACAGTCATAGACTGGAAACACATTACATGAGACAGCTAGAAATTACTGCTATAGCAGGAAAACATGGAAACACAGCGGCACAGTGGCTTAGTGGTTAGCAAATCTGCCTTGTAGTAAATGGGTCATGGGTTCAAGTCCTGACCATGGTGCCTCCTGCATTGAGTCTGCATGTTCTCCCTGTGCTTGCATCGGTTTCCTCCAGGTACTCTGGTTTCCTCCCACACTCCAAATACATGCTGGGAGGTTAATTGGCTCCTGTCTAAATTGGCCCTAATATGTATATGTATGAATATGAGTTAGGGACCTTAGATTGTACACCCCTGAGGGTTAGGGACCTTAGATTGTACACCCCTTGAGGGTTAGGGACCTTAGATTGTACACCCCTTGAGGGTTAGGGACCTTAGATTGTACGCCCCTTGAGGGTTAGGGACCTTAGATTGTACGCCCCTTGAGGGTTAGGGACCTTAGATTGTACGCCCCTTGAGGGTTAGGACCTTAGATTGTACGCCCCTTGAGGGTTAGGGACCTTAGATTGTACGCCCCTTGAGGGTTAGGGACCTTAGATTGTACACCCCTTGAGGGTCAGGGACCTTAGATTGTACACCCCTTGAGGGTTAGGGACTGATGCAAATGTTCAATATATATGTGTAAAGCACTGTGTAAATTGACAGCACTATATAAGTACCTGAAATAAATGAATGTCTGCAGTGGCCCCCAAGGGCTGCACAGAAAGTATTAAAGGGCCACATTCAGCCAGAGGTCTGTGGATTGGGTGCCAGGGGTGTAACTGCTTCATCATGACCATACAGCTACGTATATCGTGGCCTTATTGCTATATAATGATTTAACTAGTCTTTCATGAAATAAGTTCTGCGTCATAGGCCAACTGCTTTATCATGGCCTCACTGTTCCATCAAGAGCTAACTGCTATATTATGAATGCTGATGCCTTGATGATGTCCCTTGTGACGAAACGCATCGAAAGAAGCCTTAGCTCTGATGTCATCGTGCCCACTTGGAGGAGCAGTGACACTGTTACATGTGATTCTTTGCTATACTTTTGTGAGTATCTCTCTATTAACCAAGAAAGTAGTGGTTTTATTACATACTTCACTATGTAGTATTCTTGCTTTCTTCTCCTGCTCTGTATATTTGTTCATGTTATGGCTGAGACCACTATGTGATCTATGGGAGAATAGGCTGCATCCTTAGCTGACCCTGCTTGCAATCTCATTAAAAAAAGCACTGATGACCTCACACCAAGGAGGGCAATATACAGTATCTGCGTTTGTTAGTAAAATGCATCACTGAGATGAACTCAGGCCAGTGGTGTGGATACTGAAATAATAAAGGGAAAAGATGGTGGGAATTTGACATGGGCCCTCTATTTGCTTAGAATAACGGAGGCGATGTAGGATGAGGAGCCTCCTGGGCTTCCTAGGTCAACGTAGGGTGACAGCCTTGAGTGGAGCACAACTTGTTGACTTTGGACTCTTTCACCCCTGCCAGTATGGGCACATGGCTGGCTCGCCAACTTTAAGTGTTACTAAACTCCTGCATTCACTATATCCGCTCTCCCCCCCGAACCCTGCATTCACTATATCTGGTCTCCCCGGATCCTGCATTCACTATATCTGCTCTCCCCGGACCCTGCATTCACTATATCTGATCTCCCCGGACATTGCATTCACTATATCTGGTCTCCCCGGATCCTGCATTCACTATATCTGCTCTCCCCGGACCCTGCATTCACTATATCTGGTCTCCCCGGACCCTGCATTCACTATATCCGGTCTCCCCGGACCCTGCATTCACTATATCCGGTCTCCCCGGACCCTGCATTCACTATATCCGGTCTCCCCGGACCCTGCATTCACTATATCTGGTCTCCCCGGACCCTGCATTCACTATATCTGGTCTCCCCGGACCCTGCATTCACTATATCTGGTCTCCCAGGACCCTGCATTCACTATATCCGCTCTCCCCCCGGACCCTGCATTCACTATATCTGGTCTCCCCGGACCCTGCATTCACTATATCTGGTCTCCCCGGACCCTGCATTCACTATATCTGGTCTCCCCGAACCCTGCATTCACTATATCCAGTCTCCCCGGACCCCGCATTCACTATATCTGGTCTCCCCGGACCCTGCATTCACTATATCCGGTCTCCCCGGACCCTGCATTCACTATATCCTCTCTCCCCGGACCCTGCATTCACTATATCCGGTCTCCCCCGGACCCTGTATTCACTATATCCTCTCTCCCCGGACCCTGCATTCACTATATCTGGTCTCCCCGGACCCTGCATTCACTATATCTGGTCTCCCCGGACCCTGCATTCACTATATCTGGTCTCCCAGGACCCTGCATTCACCATATCCGCTCTCCCCGGACCCTGCATTCACTATATCTGGTCTCCCAGGACCCTGCATTCACTATATCTGATCTCCCAGGACCCTGCATTCACCATATCCGCTCTCCCCGGACCCTGCATTCACTATATCTGGTCTCCCTGGACCCTGCATTCACTATATCTGATCTCCCCGGACCCTGCATTCATTATATCCACTCTCCGCGGACCCTGCATTCACTATATCTGGTCTCCCTGGACCCTGCATTCACTATATCTGGTCTCCCTGGACCCTGCATTCACTATATCCGCTCTCCCGAACCCTGCATTCACTATATCTGGTCTCCCAGTACCCCGCATTCACTATATCCGGTCTCCCCGGACCCTGCATTCACTATAACCACTCTCCCCGGACCCTGCATTCACTATAACCACTCTCCCCGGACCCTGCATTCTCTATATCCGGTCTCCCTGAACCCTGCATTCACTATATCTGGTCTCCCCGGACCCTGCATTCACTATATCTGGTCTCCCTGGACCCTGCATTCACTATATCCGCTCTCCCAGTACACTGCATTCACTATATCTGGTCTCCCTGGGCCCTGCATTCACTATATCGGCTCTCCCACAGTACACAGAACATGGAAATGCAATTATTTTAGTAAATATAAACTGCTAAATACTTTTTTTCATCAGCAGTATATAGCAGTCTTGGGACTTCTATCAGTGTCTGACCAAGCACTGATTAAAAATTTTAGGAGGGGCTTTCATTCTGCTCTTGTGAGACCCTCTGTCTGGATAGCTCTGATTGGCCCTCTGCTGATCACATGCACTCTCCCAAAAACATAAAAAAAACTGTCTAGCAATACATTTCAAATTGAGCACGTGCAGCTTGCCTCCAATGAGCTGTACTGCCAGCAGAGGGATTGGGGACAGTAGAAGGGGAGGATCAGAGAAGACAGGATCAAACAGCCTGAGGATTAACCCCTTAGGTTCCACAGTGAGTATAACAAGCATGCTTTACTGCATATACAGACTGATTGTACTGTTGTGGGTTTAGTAACACTTTAATGCATGTACAGGCCAGGTCTGTATTGGGACAACCATCTATGCTGCACATAAAACTATTATTTAGAATTCAGCAGAACAACATCAGAAATGCAAAAGACTCTTCCGCATCTCTCACCATCTTAGCACGTATCTGATCTTCTAATGTGAATATGATAGAAAACACTTCATCAATTCCTCCAGTCAGGGGCGGACTGACAACTCACGGGGCCCCCGGGCAATAGGGGATCATGGGGCCCCTGTGTCCTTGCCCAAACTCAAAAAGCCTATGAAAAAAGGTACCAGGGGCATCTCATGGGGCCCCCTACTGACCCCAGGCCCTCGGGCAGTGCCCGAGTTTCCAGATGGTCCGTCCTCCCCTGCATACAGTGGTACCAGGGGTGGACTGACCAGTCAAGCACTCAGGCACTGCCCGAGGGCCTGGGGTCAGTAGGGGGCCCCATGAAATGCCCCTGGTACCTTTTTTATAGGTTTTTTTTGAGTGTGGGCAAGGACACAGGGGCCCATGATCCCCTATTGCCCAGGGGCCCCATGAGTTGTCAGTCCGCCCCTGAGTGGTACCATTGGTTGTGGAGTTCTGTCTTCATATGGAATTTATTATGTGTCTATATGGACTATATGTCACTGTTTTCTTTTTTTATTTGATCACTTTTCACAGATTTGAGTGTCTTTATAATGTATGTATATAACTAGTGAAGTTCACTTATTATTATTTGTTATTCATTTGTTTTTACTGATTTGATCACTTTTATAGGTATGAGGGCCTTCATAGTGCATATGCTTGTTTAATGAGGTTTACTGTTTTACATAATATTTTACTATACATAGTTTTTGAAAAGAGAGGATATCTTCTGTAACCACTTCCAGTCCGGACACTTTCCCCCCCTTCCAGTCCGGACACTTTCCCCCCCTTCTAGTCCGGACACTTTCCCCCCCTTCCAGTCCGGACACTTTCCCCCCCTTCCAGTCCGGACACTTTCCCCCCCTTCTAGTCCGGACACTTTCCCCCCCTTCCAGTCTGGACACTTTCACCCCCTTCCAGTCCGGACACTTTCCCCCCCTTCCAGTCCAGACACTTTCACCCCCTTCCAGTCCGGACACTTTCCCCCCCTTCCAGTCCGGACACTTTCCCCCCTTCCAGTCCGGACACTTTCCCCCCTTCCAGTCCGGACACTTTCCCCCCTTCCAGTCCGGACACTTTCACCCCCTTCCAGTCCGGACACTTTCCCCCCTTCCAGTCCGGACACTTTCCCCCCCTTCCAGTCCGGACACTTTCCCGCCTTCCAGTCCGGACACTTTCACCCCCTTCCAGTCCGGACACTTTCACCCCCTTCCAGTCCGGACACTTTCCCCCCCTTCCAGTCCGGACACTTTACCCCCCCTTTCCAGTCCGGACACTTTCCCCCCCTTCCAGTCCGGACACTTTCCCCCCCTTCCAGTCCGGACACTTTCCCCCCTTTCCAGTCCGGACACTTTCCCCCCCTTCCAGTCCGGACACTTTCCCCCCCTTCCTGGTTGGACACTTCCCCCCCCTTGCAGTCCGGACACTTTCACCCCCTTCCAGTCCGGACACTTTCCCCCCTTCCAGTCCGGACACTTTCCCCCCTTCCAGTCCGGACACTTTCCCCCCCTTCCAGTCCGGACACTTTCACCCCCTTCCAGTCCGGACACTTTACCCTTCTTCCAGTCCGGACACTTTCCCCCCCTTGCAGTCCGGACACTTTCCCCCCTTTCCAGTCCGGACACTTTCCCCCCTTTCCAGTCCGGACACTTTCCCCCCCTTCCAGTCCGGACACTTTCCCCCCCTTCCAGTCCGGACACTTTCCCCCCCTTCCAGTCCGGACACTTTCCCCCCTTCCAGTCCGGACACTTTCCCCCCCTTCCAGTCCAGACACTTTCACCCCCTTCCAGTCCGGACACTTTCACCCCCCTTCCAGTCCGGACACTTTCCCCCCTTTCCAGTCCGGACACTTTCCCCCCTTCCAGTCCGGACACTTCCCCCTCTTCCAGTCCGGACACTTCCCCCCTTTCCAGTCCGGACACTTTCCCCCCCTTCCAGTCCGGACACTTTCACCCCTTCCAGTCTGGACACTTTCACCCCCTTCCAGTCTGGACACTTTCCCCCCTTCCAGTCCGGACACTTTCCCCCCCTTCCAGTCCGGACACTTTCACCCCCTTCCAGTCTGGACACTTTCACCCCCTTCCAGTCCGGACACTTTCACCCCCTTCCAGTCCGGACACTTCCCCCCCCTTCCAGTCCGGACACTTCCCCCCCCTTCCAGTCCGGACACTTTCACCCCCTTCCAGTCCGGACACTTTCCCCCCCTCCAGTCCGGACACTTTCCCCCCTTCCAGTCCGGACTTTCCAAATGGTCAGTCCGCCCCTGCTTCCAGTAATTATTCGTCTTTTCAGATTCCTTTTTTTCCTAAACTCAGCATTTTCTATGGGTAGCCTTAGAAGTCGGCACGGACCGGCACGCTGTATCAGAGCAGGGTACCTGTTTGCTGCCAATAAAACAAATACTTTGCCGCATCAAAACCTGACTTCACCCCTCTAGGAAACGCGCTCTAATTAATTACGATGAATGTCTATCTGGAAAGGCTGCCAGGTCTCCATTAATTCGCACACATTGAACAGAAGCCCTAATTGAAGGCCGCCCATTCTGCAGAACGCTCCGAAGTTTGGAAAGTAATTATAAGATTAAAAGAAATTAGGGAGGGAACGTAATGAAGGGAGAAAATCCAATTCAACGCGGAACCGTGTTACCAGCTCCTGCCGCTCAAATGGGACTTGAAAAGACATTTATGAAGCTTTAGGGAAAACAAAAACAAAAACTGACACAAAGCGTTCATGTTTTACTCTTTACTGTGGGGAAGTAATAATGAATTTTTGTATACAGTTTTTAATAAAAAAAAGGCAAATTTGTGGCCTGAATAAAAATCCCCTTTTACACAGGAATATCTTTACAAGAAAATTGTATAGTCGTTCATCCAGTGGAACTGCAAGTAAATTCATTTTGAGTGAATTGGGCAAAAACAAATTTTTTCTCACTACTAGTTTCCTCTAAACTTTTCAGTATGGGGGTCGTGTAGCAGGGGCAGACTGACAACTCATGGGGCCCCCGGGCAATAGGGGATCATGGGGCCCCTGTGTCCTTGCCCAAACTCAAAAAAGCCTATGAAAAAGGTACCAGGGGCATCTCATGGGGCCCCCTACTGACCCCGGGCAATCGGCAGTGTCCGAGTTTGCAAATGGTCAGTCCGCCCCTGCCGTGTAGTACACTATATTGCCAAAAGTATTGGGCCAGCCCTCCAAATCATGTGATTCAGGTGTTCCAATCCCCTCCATGGACACAGGTGTATACAATCAAGCCCCTAGGCATGCAGACTGCTTCTACAAACATTGGTGAAAGAATGGGTCGCTCTGAGGAGCTCAGTGACTCCAAGCGTGGTCCCGTGATAGGTGGCCACCTGTGCAATAAGTCCATCCGTGACATTTCCTGGCTACTAAATATTCCACGCTCAACTGTTAGTGGGATTATAACAAAGTGGAAGCAACTGGGAACAACAGCCACTCAGCCACCAAGTGGTAGGCCACATCACATGACAGGCGGGGTCAGCGCATGCTGAAGCGCACAGTGTGCAGAAATTGCCAATTGTCTGCAGAGTCAATAGCTAAAGACCTCCAAACTTGGTGTGGCCTTCAGATGAGCCCAACAACAGTGCGTAGAGAGCTTCATGGAATGGGTTTCCATGGGCAGCTGCATCCAAGCCTTACATCACCAAGTGCAATGCAAAGTGTTGGATGAAGTGGTGTAAAGCATGCCACCACTGGACTCTAGAGCAGAGGAGATGTGTTGTCTGGAGTGACCAATTACGCTTCTCTGTCTGGAAATCCGATGGATGTTTCTGGGTTTGGCGGTTGCCAGGAGAACGGTACTTGCCTGACTGCATTGTGCCAAGTGTAAAGTTTGGTGGAGGGCGGATTATGGTGTGGGGCTGTTTTTCAGGGGTTGGGCTTGGCCCTCTAGTTCCAGTGAAGGGAACTCTTAAGGCGACATTTTGGACAATTTCATGCTCCCAACTTTGTGGGAAGAGTTTGGGGATGGCCCCTTCCTGTTCCAACATGACTGCACACCAGTGCACAAAGCAAGGTCCATAAAGACATGGAGGAGCCAGTTTGGGGTGGAGGAACTTGACTGTCCTGCACAGAGTCCTGACCTCAACCCCACAGAACACCTTTGGGATGAATTAGAGAGGAGACTGTGAGCCAGGCCTCCTCCCCCGACATCAGTGCCTGAACTGACAAATGTGCTTCTGGAAGAATGGTCCAGCCTTCCCATAGACACCCTCCTAAACCTTGTGGACGGCCTTCCCAGAAGAGTTGAAGCTGTTATAGCTGCAAAGGGCGGGGCCAACTCAATACTGAACCCTACGGACTAAGACTGGGGGGCCATTAAAGGTCATGTGTGAAAAAAAATCAGTTTAAAAATAAATTAAGAAAGTGGAAGGACAGCGCTGGAGGGTTATCTTTCTGGTATTGATATCTTTATGTATTGATGTTGATGTGATCTGGTTCCTGGGCAGGCGGCTTCTACACCCCAGAGGGTCTCCACAGTCTTCATTAGGGCTTGACTGGGAAAAAAGTGAACAAACTAGAAGTGAAGTGGACCTACGAGCTGCTGATAAGACCGGAGCTGTTACTTCATTCTGGAGAAAATACAGTTGTAGGTCCCGTTCACTTCTGGTTTGCTCACATTGCTGCCAGTCGTGCCGTAAAAGAAGGGGGTATGTAGACCATGGATACATGTTAGCTACTCTTCGGATTGTATATCTGGCTTTTACTGGAATCGATTTATATCAGACCTCTTATCAGTAGTGTGGCGCCTCAATTGCAATTCTCATTAAAAATAAATGAGTTCCCCTTTACATCTGAATCCCTAGAGTTCCCCCATATATCAGGGTTCCCATTAGAGTCTCCCCTTACATCAGGGTCCCTATCAGTGTTCCCATTGTATCAAGGCCCTCATCAGAGTCTCCCTTTCATCAGAGACCCCACTTACATCAGGGTCCCCATCAGAGTCCCCCCTTACATCATAGTCTCCATCGGAGTCTGCCCTTATATGACAGTCTCCATCAGAGTACCTCCTTCTATCAGAGTCCTCAGCAGAGCCCTTTTACATGAGGGTTCCTCCTTACATCAAAGCCCCATTTACATCAGAGTCCTTGTCAGTGTCTACCCTTACATTAGAATCCTCATCAGGACCCCTTACATCAAGGTCACCATCAGAGTCCCCCCCTTACATCAGTGTCCTCTTCAGAGTCCCCCCCCTTACATCAGTGTCCTCTTCAGAGTCCCCCCTTACAACAGTCCTCATCAGAGTCCCCCCCTTACATCAGTGTCCTCTTCAGAGTCCCCCCCCTTACATCAGTGTCCTCTTCAGAGTCCCCCCCTTACATCAGTGTCCTCACCAGAGTCCCCACTTACATCAGTGTACTTCAGAGTCCCCATTACATCAGGGTCCTCAGAGTCCCCATTACATCAGGGTCCTCATCAGAGTTCCCCCCCTTACATCAGGGTCCTCATCAGAGTCCCCCCTTACATCAGGGTCCTCAAATCAAATCAGGGTCCTCTTCAGAGTCCCCCCCCCCTTACATCAGTGTCCTCTTCAGAGTCCTCCCTTACAACAGTGTCCTCATCAGAGTCCCCCCTTACATCCAGGTCCTCTTCAAGTCCCCCTTACATCAGGGTCCTCTTCAGAGTCCCCTCTTACATCAGGGTCCTCTTCAGAGTCCCCCCATACATCATTGTCCTCTTTATAGTCCCCCCTTACATCAGTGTCCTCATCAGAGTCCCCCCATACATCAGTGTCCTCTTCAGAGTCCCCCCTTACATCAGTGTCTTCTTCAGAGTCCCCCTCTTACATCAGGCAGAAGCAGAGATCACAGGCAGCTTCTGATGACCTGGATCCTCGATCAGTGCACATTGAAGATATGACACTGACCCTAGTGGCGGGCCACACAGAATCTTGTCATGGGATGGCTCTGGCACACAGGCCATAGTTTGGAGAGCCCTGCTCTAAGAGATGTAGCAGATTTCATCAATGTTTGACATCATTGGTAGAATGTTGGAGTCCATGACAGGTATAAAATGCCGGTTGATCACTCCACCTGCCAGGCGGCACACAAAGCCGCAATAAGAGTCTTGGATGACTTCGGCCTGTGATATGGAGGAGATGACACGTAGCTCTGGTTCATGTCTTCTATGGGGTCACCGAGGAGTTCAGCTGTATCTCTGTTCACCTTCTTTTAATATTTCGAGTCTCTGCCTGACAAACGGACAAAGGAGGAAGGAGCGCGGGGGGTAACAAGTGTCTGTCCACACAATGAAATAAAGGAGGAATGTGACAGCCGATCTATCTCTCCTCCATGTCGATGTGACGGATAATTTCCAGGAAGACTCTTCATAATAATACCGCAGAGGAGACAGCTACAGCAGAGATATGACACTCCGTCAGATCCACATATTAGATAAGGCTGGAGCCAGGGAGCCATCACCGCGTCCTCTGACTAATGACTTCTTGTAAAATGAACAGACACATCCGATTAGATGACATCGAATGGCTGCTGCGGACGGTTGGGAGCGCGCTGTGCGGGCGCCATTGCTATGTGCGTAGTGCAGGTTTTAGAGGCATGAGGGGGAAAGTCACAGAGAACCCGATTCCTCACTTTTCAAACTCTTCCGTCTTAATTGATCAATCGCGTCAAAGTTACAATGACATCACATACTTGTCTCTCAGGCCTCATGCACACTGCAGCTTGAAAAAGCTCAGCACTATGGAAATAAAATATTATCCACTAAACCAGGCCTTGAAATTTCCACTTGCCCGCTCGCCAATGACGAGTGGATATTATGGTGGGGTCCCCCAGGGACGTCTTGCTGAGCAGGCTCAGTGCTCAGGCCGGATCTGTCATTGGCACTGGGAGCCGTCAGACTGCTCAATAGCTGAGCGCAGTGAAAGCAAAGCAAGGAGTGTGTGCTGTGCTCTCTGCCTCCCCCTAGAGTGCAGTACCCGGATCTGTGAGTGAATAACGAAGTACTGCAACTTTTTATGGGTGGTGTATGTGTGTGTGTGTCTGTGTATGCATGTACGTGTGTGTGTATGTACATGTGTTTATCTGTAAATGTGTCTGTGTGTATGTACATGTATGCGTGTGTACATGTGTCTGTGTGTGCATGTACATATGTCTGTGTGTACATGTGTCTGTGTATGTATGTACATGTGTCTGTGCGTGTGTATTTCTGTGTATGTACATGTATCCAGGGGCGGACTGGCCATTTGGAAACTCGGGCACTGCCCGAGAGCCGGGGTCAGTAGGGGGCCCAATGAGATGCCCCTGGTACCTTTTTCATAGGCTTTTTTGAGTTTGGGCAAGGACACAGGGGCCCGCAATTGGTGGAGTAGCAGTGTCCGCTAGAGAGATTTCCAGCTTCCACAGGGATCCCACAGATATGGGACATACCAAGCTAGACCAATGTGTTCCCTAAATGGCATCCGTGCCAGCGGCCAACCTCTTGTGTTCATTATGCAGCAGGTCAACCGCTCAGCATTGGATCTGTAAGCTACTGGCAATTGGTGGAGTGGAGGTGTCCACTAGAAATATTTCCAGCTTCCACAGGGATCCCACAGGTATGGGACATACCAAGTTAGACCAATGTGTTCCCTAAATGGCATCCTTGCCAAGTGGCCAGCCTCTTGTGTTCATAATGCAGCAAGTCAACCGGTCAGCATGGGACCTGTAAGCTAGTGGCAATTGGTGGAGTAGCAGTGTCAGCTAGAGAGATTTCCAGCTTTCACAGGGATTCCACAGGTATGGGACATACCAAGCTAGACCAATGTGTTCTCTAAATGGCATCCGTGCCAAGTGGCCAACCTCTTGTATTCATTATGCAGCAGGTCAAGCACTCAGCATGGAACTGTAAGCTAGTGGCAATTGGTGGAGTAGAGGTGTCCGCTAGAGAGATTTCCAGCTTCCACAGGGACCCCACAGGTATAGGACATACCAAGCTAGACCAATGTGGCTATGGCAGAGTTGGTGATGCCACAATATTATCTATCTCATCCAATCAGAGAACACTTCGTTCATTGAAAAAATTCAAAGTGTTCCTTAAATGGCATCTGTGCCAAGTGGCCAACCTCTTGTGTTCATTATGCAGCAGGTCAACCGCTCAGCATTGGACCTGTAAGCTACTGGCAATTGGTGGAGTAGCGGTGTCCGCTAGAGAGATTTTCAGCTTCCACAGGGACCCCACAGGTATGGGACATACCAAGCTAGACCAATGTGACTATGGCAGGGATAGTGATGCCACAATCTCTATCTCATCCAATCAGAGAACACTTTGTTTGTTGAAAAATTTCAAAGTGTTCCTTAAATGGCATCCGTGCCAAGTGGCCAACCTGTTGTGTTCATTAGGCAGAAGGTCAACCGCTCAGCATTGGACCTGTAAGCTACTGGCAATTGGTGGAGTAGCGGTGTCCGCTAGAGAGATTTCCAGCTTCCACAGGGACCCCACGGGTATGGGACATACCAAGCTAGACCAATGTGTTCCCTAAATAGCATCCGTGCCAAGTGGCCAACCTCTTGTGTTCCTTATGCAGCAGGTCAACTGCTCAGCATTGGACCTATAAGCTAGTGGAAATTGGTGGAGTAGAGGTGTCCACTAGAGAGATTTCCAGCTTCCACAGGGACCCCACAGGTATGGGACATACCAAGCTAGACCAATGTGACTATGTAAAAGTTGCCATACCTGGAATGCTACTATAAAGCCACCGCCACCCGGTAAGCACCAGCTACAAGCTTGGTTTTATGGTCTGATCAAAGTCAATAATTGTAAGCTCAACTTTTATCATTACATTTACTTTAATGGGTTTAGTGGGAGGAGCTAAGAACACAGGGCAGAGATCTCACCATAGGAAGGAGTCAATAAAAGTAAAGGATGAGTAAACCCGCCTATGTCTGAAATGGATTTAAATATCAAGCTGAACAGGACGTCACTTTGTTGTTTGATTTTTACAAAATTTGTTGCAAATTTTCTTTTATTCATTTATTAAGTTTTGTAATATCAGTCTTTCATAGGAAAGAGAGCTTCTGTAAAGTCCACTTCATGCTGCTAGATTAAACATCTGCTCTGCACTTCAAGGTATGTTCAATAGATTAATAGACTTACTAAAGAAATTAAAAATGATGCCTTGTACTGCTTCCAAATGTGCTGGGATTTTGGCTGTAATAAAGGAACTTCATTTCCTGGTGATGACCTTGTTTAATGTACCAGATATAAATAATCCGCAGCTTTTTAATTAACTGGAGAGTTGATAAAAATGAGGGAGAGAATTCGCAGTGACTTGTTGACAGGACGCGGCGAGGTATACAAGAATTACGCAGTGGATTATTGGAAGAATGAATGAATATCGTGTCGGAATCGCTCTTCTTAGGTACGGTAGGTCATATTTTCTCAGGTCTACGGCGTGAAAATTTATGCCGCCTTTTGCTGCCAAGTTTTTGGAGTGTTCTCGATATCTGTGAGAGTGCGGCTCGTCCATTCGCTCCCAATTGGTGGCGCCGCTAAGATAAAAGACGAGGGTTGTAATAAGTGGGACAATCATCTTCTCGGGGGAAATAGCTAATAATTAATATCTCGTGGAGAACTTCTGTCCGAGGCTTTCAAGGTTGGGTGTGAAGTTTGTTGTAACCGAGAAGTCCAACTTTCTAGGTCACCATCCATTCCGAGAACGGGCCGTTCAATTTTTTTCATGGGTACGTCTTCTTACTATCCAAGATTCGGTTAAAAAAAAAATGATATTATTAATAAATGGAGTCCATCTGTAGTCTTCATAGATTATGTAGAGGAAGCAGCAATGAGCAAATTGGGTTGAAAACCAGCCAAAGCAAATTTCAGAGTTCTGTATTTGCAGGTGGAATTATGTGAATAGCAAAGAATCATACATTTGGGGAGGGGGGAGGGGCATTAGAATGTAAGCTCCTCTGGTACAGAGACTAATGTGACTGTCTCCCTGTTTTCTGTACAGCGCTACGGAATGTGTCAGAGCTATATAAATGTATAATAATAGTGTGTGACTGTGGGGGACATTGGAATGTAAGTTCTTCTGGTGCAGAGACTGATGTGATTGGCTCAGCGATCTCTGTACAGCGCTGTGGTATATGACAGAGCTATACAAAATGTATAATAATAGTGTGTGACTGTGGTGGGACATTAGAGTGCAAGCTTCTCTGGTTAGTGGTGTATTTAGGTTTTGTGCTGCCCTAGGCAACACAAAATTCATCTTCTCCTCCCCCCCCCCCCCGAAGAGAGCCTGGCAGCAACCAATGCCACCCTGCCCTGAGGGAGAGAGTCTGAAATTGACCAACAGCACTCCTGCCCCATCTCGGTGAGAGAGAGAAAGACACGCGCCTTCACAGCTCTGGACATCCCTGGGAACGAGAGTCAAGCAGCCCGCAGCCTCTCTCAGATCCCACCTGGTCCCCATGCTGCATGTGTCTCTCCTTCGATCCCTTCTTCCAGGGGGGCAGTGCTGCCCCCCTGAAAAATGCTGCCCTAGGCAAATGCCTTGTTTGCCTTGTGGTAAATATGCCCCTGCCTCTGGTGCAAGAACACTGTGGCTGGGTCAATGTTCTCCGTACAACACTGCTGAATGTGTCAGAGCTATACAGTAAATGTATAATAGTAGTGGGTGAGCAGGGGCGGACTGACCATTCGAGTACTAAGGCACTGCCCGAGGGCCCGGGGTCAGTAGGGGGCTCCATGAAAGGCCCCTGGTACCTTTTTATGGGCTTTTTTGGGTGTGCTTTGATTGTGGGCAAGGAAACAGGGGCCCCATGATCCTCTATTGCTCGGGGGGCCCCATGAGTTGTCAGTCCGCCCCTGTGGGTGAGTGTTTGTAGCACATTAGATTGTAAGCACTTCCAGTGCAGAGACTGGTGTGACTGATTCAGTGTTCTCTGTACAGCGCTGCAGTATATGTCAGAGCTATATAAATGTATAATAATAGTGTGTGACTGTGGAGGGACATTAGAGTGCAAGCTCCTCTGGTGCAAGAACACTGTGACTGACTTGGTGTTCTTTGTACAGCACTGCTGAATGTGTCAGAGCTATACAGTAAATGTATAATAATAGTGGGTGAGTGTTGTAGTACCATTAGAGTGTAAGTTCTTCTGGTGCAGAGACTGGTGTGACTGATTCAGTTTTCTCTGTACAGCACTGCAGTATATGGCAGACCTTTAGAAATGTATAATATAATAGTGTGTGACTGTGGTGGAACATTAGAGTGTAAGCTCCTCTGGTGCAAGAACACTGTGACTGACTTGGCGTTCTCTGTACAGCACTGCGGTATATGTCAGAGCTATATAAATGTATAATAATAATACTAATAGTAGGTGAGTGTTGTAGTACATTAGAGTGTAAGCTCTTCTGGTGCAGAGACTGGTGTGACTGATTCAGTTTTCTCTGTACAGCACTGCAGTATATGGCAGACCTTTAGAAATGTATACAGTAATAATAGTATGTGACTGTGGTGGGGAGTGGGGACATTAGAGTGTAAGCTCCTCTGCTACAGAGACTGATGTGATTGGCTCATTGCTTTCTGGAAAGAACTGCACAATATGTCAGACTATAGAAATGTGGTAATAATAGTGTGCGATTGTGGGGGAAAACATTGAAGTGTAAGCTCCTCTGGCGCAGAGACTGACGTGAGTGGCTCAGCATTCTTTGAACGGCACCAGGATTTATGTCAGAAATATAGAAATGCGTAATATTAATAGAGTGTGACTGTGGTGTGGATATTAGAATGCAAGCTTCTCTGGTGCATAGACTGATGTGAATGGATCCGTGTTCTCTGTACAGCACTATGGTATATGTTGGGGCTATATAAATGTATGATAATAATAGTGTGACTGTGGGGAGGGACATTGGAGTGCAAGCTCTTCTGGTGCAGAAATAGATGTGGCTGGCTCAGTGTTCTCTGTACAGCACTATGGTATATGTTGGAGCTTTATAAATGTATATTAGTAATAATAGTCATTGAGTATTATAGGACATTAGAGTGTAAGCTCCTCTGGTACAGAGACTGATGTGACTGGCTCAGTGTTCTCTGTACAGCACTATCGTATATGTTGGAGCTATATAAATGTATGATAATAATAGTGTGACTGTGGGGGGGGGGGGGAGCGGACATTAGAGTGTAAGCTCTTCTGGTGCAGAAATAGA